GGCATGTGGGAGCGGTTTCTAATCCCGATTTAGAAAAATGATGGTTGATTTAAATCGGGGTTAAAGAAAGTTGTCATGAGAGGGGGGGGGGGAAGTAAAATTTGGGGGCAAAGTTTTGGGGAAGAAAATTAAAATCAGAACGTAAATTTCAAATGGAATAAAATTTGGCGAAGAAAAATTGCAGAAAATTCGGGGTAAAGGAAAAGGGAAAAATTAAATTTTCAAGAGAATGAAATTCGAATTTATTCGATTTAATTAAAAAAAAAAAGAAAAACTCTTGGAAAGAAATTCTAAATAACAATAAAAAAATCCAAGTTATTTTACGTGATAAAATACAAAAAATTTAAAATTGGAATAAGTGGAAAAATTCAAAAAAAATTGTTATATTTTGGGGATTTATTTTGAATTTTTAACGAATTAAAATGATAATTATGAAAATAATTTAAATCAAGATTTCCGAATTACTTTGAAAAAAAGGAAAAAGAAAAGAATTGTTGGTTTTCGAAAAGAAATCCGAGAATTTTCAAAACGAAAATAAAGTTGAATTCGGATTTAAAAGTTGATTTGGTTTTTTTTTTCGGAATTTAATTATTTAAATAATTAAAATGTTTGCAAGAATTTTATTTTATTTTTTATTTTTTTTTGGAATTTCAAAAACAGAAATGCATTTTTTAGGTGGAATAAATGAAGTTTTAGGGTGTTTCCGAAGAAATAAATTTTGAATTGCAGAATATTTAGAAAGTGAAAGTTTTAGAAAAAAGAAAAGAGGAGCTAAAGTATGACGAAATTAATTAATTAATTTTTGAAAGGTAAAATCTACTACCAAAAAGGCGACTAACTGCTAAGGAAAATTTTCGAAAAGAATTAATTTCAAAGACGAACTAAGAAAAAAGAAAAAGCAATTGAAATTTTAAGTGCCGAAAGAAAAAATTTGAACGAAAATAAATTTTGTTTACACGGAATTAAAATTCGGTTCAATTTTATTATATTATTCGGAGGTGTTAAAGGCAGGAAAGGGTTTTACGGTTTGTAAATGTACTTGTGAAGCATTGTTTTGAGATGCCACGTGTCGCGCGGAAGGGTGGATAGG